AGGATTTCTGTTCTCATGGTAGGCATGAGATTGAGGAGGAGAGTGGTTTGTATTTTGATGACAGCTTTGATTTGCTGAGTGATGAGAGTGGCAGTTTTGGGAGTTTCGACTGCTATTGGAGCGACCTCTTTGGGGTTATCTGGGGTTTTGACCCTTTCGGGGCATTTTAGTGAGGAGGCGGGATGGTCGCCTTCACAGTTCGGACATTTTGGGCTGGAAGTTTTAGTGCATTTAGCGGAAGGATGTGCCTCACCGCAGTGAGGACACTTAGTTTTGAGTGGGACATTCCGCTGCTGAATATCCCGTTTCACTGCATATGTTGCAGTATTTTGGGATGGGGGTAAAGGGTTGATGTTGAGGCCTCACACTCATGGGTTCGGCCATAGATATTGATACCGTGAGTCAGACATCTGGTATATTGGTCTTTATTCGCTGTAATGATGCGAATAAGGGTGGTAGGTTTGGAGTTTTTTTGGAGGTTATCCTCCAGATTTTTGAAACTTGCAGTTCAGCTGCTTCTAGGGAGCCGCTAATTTCTTCTATAGAAAAATCAACGTGGACACCCTTGATAACGAATGATATGTGTGGTTCTTTGGGAGCTGACGGTTGAGAGTTTTTTGTTCTGAGGTCAATCACTTTGATGGAGGTGTAACCTGTACGGTCACGCAGGAGTTTTTGAAGCTGTTCAGAGGTTTTGGAGTTGTTGTTCGTTTTTAGTATACCCATTTTTTAGAACACCCATCGACCTCATACACGGTGTTACAATGCCACCGAATGACATCGCGGAGGGACAAAAAAAATTTTGCCACTTAGTAAAAGTGCCAAAAAGCCAAAAAAAAATTTTCGCATCAAGAACGTGCGTCAACTTGATCGTGCTGGCGGAGCCGCAGAGAATAAACAAAGGGATAATAGCACAGTGCCACCGATGTCAATACTTCGGCCACGCACAGCGATGCTGTCACGCAACCGCGCGTTGCGTAAAATGCGGAGAAGAACATGACACAAGGGAGTGTCAGAAACAAAAAGACGCACCAGCCAAATGCGCAAACTGTCTGTGAGCGCACCCGGCAAGCTACAGGGGGTGCAGGATGTTCCCCAAAACCAGATACACACCAACAGCAGGAAACAGGCCTCGACAAGCGGAGAGTCAGAGGCCCCGTCAGCAACCAGCCCAAAGAAAGCTAGCACCGAAGGCGCAGAAAGCCGGAGGAAACGAGCTGGTCCAAATCCTAGGAAGTTTAAAGACTGAGCTGCAGAAGATCGCGCAAGCGGTCTTAGCTGCCTTAATACAGGCACCCTGACAACAGTAATGCCTGCATGAGTCCCGGAAAGACTATCAGTAGGATCATGGAACATAAATGGTTCCATATACAGTCGAAACGAGCTAAGAAGCGAGAAGAGCTACCAAATCCCAGGATATAACGTATATAGGCAGACAGGCCAGAGGGCGCCGCGCCGCAGGAGGGGTGGCGCTCCTAGTGAAAACAGACCTGACGCAGAACGAAGATAGAAAACCAGAAGTCCAACTCGGAGAAGCAGTAACGGTCAGAGTCAAACTGAGACGCTACGAGCAGCTAAGAATATCGTCGGGATACCTGCCTCCGCAAGGTATAAGACTAGAAAGAACCGACATAGCAGAAATGTTCCCAGACCACCACCCAACAGCTGCCATCGGTGACTTCAATGCAAAGTCGCGAGACTGGAACTGTAGGTATGGAAATGGAGAAATAGGCAGAGTCCTAGAAGAATTTGAGGACATCGCGGTAGTAGCACCGAACACCCCAACATACTACGCGCGAGAAGATCAAGTTCCTGACATTCTCGACATCGCACTAGTGTAGAACATTGAAACTACGGAGATGGAAGTACTAGATGAAGGTTCGTCAGATCATAACCCCATTCTATTTACAATAGGAAGAGGTGAAGTAGAAACAGACAACCCAACAAAGCGAGTCATCGACTGAAAGATTCCAGCGCGCCATACACGATGGGATGGGGGAGATACCACGCATCGAAACAAGAACGGATCTGGAGAACGCCACACACCAGCTGCAGCAGGCGATCATCCAAACGATGGAAAGAAGCGCACGGGAAGTCCCAGCCCCACGCTTTAACTTCCAAGAACAGCTTTCACCACGATGGAACTGATCAGAATAAGAAGACGCCTGAAAAGACGATACCAAAAGACACGCGCGCCTATGGACAAAAGGTACATGCAAAGAGCCAACAGGATACTGAAAGAAGTATTGAAAGCTATCCGAGAGAGACAATGGACTACCCGTCTAGAAGAACTGAACTCTGAAGACCAGTCCGCATGGAGAATGCAGAATGTACCTAGGAACGGACCTTGACAGGCATGCCTGCCAATACACGGCGAGCAAGGAATCATCTACACTGACCAGGAGAAGGCAAACGCATTCGCGGACAACTTCGAAAGGCAGTGCAGAGAGAACGATGTCCCGTTCACGAACGAGGTAGACGAAATAGAGAGACAGGTGGAAAGAACGGTACGAAGAAGGCGGACGCATTCGCGGACAACTTCGGAAGGCAGTGCAGAGAGAACGATGTCCCGTTCACGGACGAAGTAGACGAAATAGAAAGACAGGTGGAAAAAACGGTACAAAGACTAAGACAACGAACGGACAACACGCAACCCCTGGCCCCGACATCTCCCGAGGAAGTGAAAGACATCCTAAGACGTCTATCCACTCGGAAAGCACCAGGCCCGGACAACATAACAAACCGGGCACTGAAAGTACTATCGCGCAAGGGTATAGCAGCCATAACCAACATCATAAACGCTATACTCAGATTGCAGCAATTCCCGTACCCGTTCAAAGAGGCAACGGTAATCCACATCCCGAAGCCCAAAAAGAACCACCTGTTCCTAAACAATCACAGGTCAATCAGCTTACTTCCTTCTATAAGCAAAGTGGCGAAGCGTGTCATCTTAGAGAGACTCGAAGCTGACAGGCGATGCCGTTTCAGAGTAGGAGACAAACTATCAACAATTCAACTACTGGAAGCAGGGGTCCCGCAAGGAGCAGTCCTTTCGCCACACCTCTTCTCCGTATACACAGCGGACGTGCCCAAGCCACAGAACAACTTCAACAAGTTGGCGCTCTAAGCGGACGACATGGTCCTGCTGTCGAGATCCACGAGCCAAGCGCATGTCACGAGGTACTTGCAGCAACAGGCAGACAGATTAGAGGAGTGGGCCAACCTATAGAAGATCAGTATTGTTCACTCGCAGGTTTGTACAACCGGAAGGCAACATCACCTTCAACGGACAAGAGATTCTATGGACCAACAAAGCGACATAACTGGGGGTCATCTTAGACAGGAAACTAACATTTCAGTCTCACGTACGGCAGATAATCGGAATGGCTAGACACGCCAGACAACGCCTGGCACCTATCATAGGAAGCAGAAGCAACATAGAGTTGAAAGTGAAGTTGCTGATGATCAAAACCGTTCTCATGCCCATAATACTGCATGCCTGCACTGCCGGGGGCCAGTGCGCACAGACATACAGGAAGAAGATACAGTCGTTCATGAACGCGAGCGCAAGGGCCACCGTAAACGCACCGTACTACATTCCCAACAGATTTATATACAGAGACCTAGACCTGGACACGCAATATGTGGACGTGTATATGAGAGAACACGCAGAAAGAGTGTTCGATAGAATCAGATCGAATGACAACCCAGCGCTACGCGATCTACACGATGCGTTAAATATGGATGACCCCAGATTCAGAGAAAGGGATAAACACCCGAGGCCAACAAAACAAAACCAAAGACCACCCCCACGAGTCGCCGTCAAGCGGCTCAGGTAAGCATATCATCAATCAGACAAACTCTCTTTCAGGTAGGTTGAACGCAGAACAATTAGACCGCGATTCACTACCCCCCCCCACGAGTCGCCGTCAAGCGGCTCAGGTAAGCATATCATCAATCAGACAAACACTCTTTCAGGTAGGTTCAACGCAGAACAATTAGACCGCGATTCACTTCTTCTTAGATTCACTGAGGAACGCTCGACGCTAATAACAATTGCCGCTAGTCAGTTTTTGGGGGCCCCCATGCAAAAATTCAGTTAGGAATAGTCACGACAAAAACTTTAACCGATCGCGAAAGAATAACACCTAAAGGCTGACTTTCGACCAAAAGAGGTCAGATTTCAATATTGCTGAAGTGCCCATCAGTAAGTTGAGGACCGCTTGGAGAGCGGGGGTGGATGGAGTGGGGTAGTAGGTAGTCCTCGCTAACTAGCTGGGGGGGAAAGCTTCTACTTCAGGGCACTCAACTCGGGAGGGGGCATGGGGTCGACACCCCAGTTCAATCCAAGAAGTAGGCAGAGACAACTCGTGATGAGACATGGGGAGTAGGTAGATTGAGGCTCCGGCATCAAGCAACATCAAATTCTTAAAAATGGCTCCAAATTTGGAGCCGAAACGTCAGAACTTATGAATTAATCACTTCCGACCAGACTTTCTCTTATGATTAGGTGAATAATCCATGGAAATGAAAATGAAAAGAGAGAAAGAGAGAAAATGGAAGGTGGAAAATGGAGGGGAAGAGACCCAATAAAGAAAGAGAAACAAGAAAAAAAGAGGAATTATAGAATGTACCTACAATGTTCAGTCTTCAGTCTTATTTTAACGGACTTTTCTGATATGTGGGAAGAAGAAAAGCAAGCGATATAAAATAATAGCATTATAAATGGAAATGAATGATGCAGGTGAAATGAATATATATGGGAAATAATTGAAAATGTGTTGAGAAAAAAGAAGCGAGTGAGGTAAATGTCATTTTGATTTTTCTAGAAGTTTTTTAAGAGAATCATTATAAATCAGCTAGCGGTAATGATGTAAAAATAGGAAAGAGAATGATTGAAAACTGCGATATATCATAACGATGAAGAGAAGGTAAAAGAAAGTGTCCAAAAAAACATCAGTATATTTTATATTCTTGACAATACTTTTTTTTCATTTCAGGGTTCCTACAAATGGTTACTACTTCTTTGTGTTCAATAGCGAGAATGAGGTAGTGACCAACTATGTCCGGGTCCATTTTGAAATTGAAAAAACTGTCTATAACGTGTCGAACCCAGTGGCGTACTGCGTCAACAAGTCGACATCTTGTTCCATAGACCTGGATTTTTTTTCCTCGGAAAAGTTGGTTATGGAACTTCCTGTTAACGGCAATGAATCGCTGTGGAATGAAGAATACATAGTCGTGTCCGAGTGCGAACCAAGAACTGCTGTCTATGCCGTTTTTATTTTACTGGTTCCTATTATGGTTGGCTTGTTCGCGTTTTCGTAGAAGAGTGAACTTACAAACGGCGCATTATTGCAACATAACGCAAAGCGTAACTGATATATAAAAGAATATTCGCAAGAGTCTGAAAAAATATGTCAAATTTGTTTGTGAGGAAGGCAAGTTTTGATAAAAAACCATTGCAGAACCTTCAATCCGCAAAACGGGTCTCTTTTCATTGCTTCTTCACTTTTGAAAATCGTTCCAATTTCCTAGCAGAAAAGAAACTCTGTAGTGACAATAATACGTTTTCTGGAAAACGGAAACATTCATTAGAATTTTCCTTGAAAACTTATCGTATCAATCCAGTTAACGCTGGAAATGTCCATACAATGATACATATCGTCTTCAAACGAATTAGAAGTAGTGCGATACAGTTCGTTTTCATGCCTCTTCAGAAAAAAAAAAACGAATGACGAAGGAGGGCACACAACTGCATCTCTTCGATTTCGAAACATGCAGTTCAAATGATAACGGATATTTTGTAAGTGATGTGAAGGAGAAAAATGATACTGAATGAAACATTATATCCTCCTCAAAGTATGAAAAGGATATTAATAAGAGCAGGCCGATATAATTTTTGAATGAAACTTGGTACATACTCCTTTCAAGTTTTCAAAAAAAAAGAATACAGAATAGAATTTTCAAAAATACCCGCCTGCACGTTTGAGTTTTGAGCGGTTTGCGATTGCAATTGCATTGTTATAGCACCATATTGTATAGCACCATTGAATTTCTGAGTGTCCTCTGCTTCATTTGATTTTGAATCGATTTAGTTTATTTACACTCTGTCTGGAATTGATGACAACAATTTTCCCAGGAAGATGTCTGATGGGAAGCCATGCTGAATAGCTTGGCAACCCGATTTCCACATTCTTTCATCACTCTGAAACAGCAACCTACAATAAATCTACCTTGAGAAATTCAAGNCCTGGTGTGTTCAATTCATTGAATTTATCGCTGTTGGATAATCAGTCCCACACAACAATTGTTCGAACGTCATCAAACTATCCCTAACCTTCGTCAAATGGGAGAGATGAATATTTCGAGATTTTATTTCGAAATATAGTATTGGTAAATGGATGTTTCTTGGTGCTTTGTTCACGAGATGGAGCTGTTAGTAGCTAACAATATTTTTCTTAGATAAAGGTTTCATACAAGCAAGTGAGCCGCGTTGAAATTAATTGAGTTCTGTTCACCTTTCTGTTTGAGTCGGATCTTTCCTGCACTGATTATTTCAATTCAGTTTTTGGCAAGTTATTCAAAAGTAAAAATAATATAAAAACGTGACCCTCCGATTGAACTAGGTAGTCGAATGAATGAATGAAAATCGTTTATTCAAATTTGTTTGATAATAACATTACATTTGTTGGGTATGTTTGTGTGGAGCCCTGCTATAGGCTAATGCCTCTTCAGGGTAAGTGTACTGTATGTGTGTGTGTTTTGTTGTGTGCTGGAGTCTGTGTTGTGTTGTTTTTGTGTTCCGCTTATTCATGTTTTTCCGTTGATCCGTATGGCGGTCCGGGTCCATTGCAGAGGTCATGGTTGTACTTTTTGGTTACGGTTTTTTTGGCCGGGGCTGTGTGAGGGTGAAGCTCTTCGTATTTCAGGTTTTTCCAGGACGCTGCTATCCGCTGTCCGCTATCTGATCCTCAGTGGGAGTTCCTCTAGGATATCCTGGATCGACTCCGGCGGGTCTTCCATTGCTCCCAGGAGTCTGGCTGGGGGGAAAGGGGAGCTTTTTCCTGGGTATCCTCCTGGATCCTCCACGGGGAATCCAAGGCGTAGTGAGCATGTTGATGGCATCGGTGTTGTTGCTGCTCATCGTATTCGTGTCTCCAATCAGACGGATGGATCTTTTCTGGATGGAATCCAGCTGCATCGGGGTATGCCTAAGGGCCGAGTTCCATACATGAGAACAATACTCCAAAGAAGGTCTGATCTCAGTAGCGACGGCCACTTGCAGGAAACGTTCTTTCAAGAAGCTGGAGACCCATACACAAAAATGATCCGACAAGCCACAGAATCGAAGTTTGGTCAGCAAACCTCCATACCACACACAGTTAGATGCCTTAGAAATATCAAGTACAACAGTTATTGAATGCCCATGTTTCTCGAATGCGTTATTCCAAATATGGGTGACATACGATAGATGGTCGCCTGTTGATCTTTGTTTCCGAAAGCCATATTGATGATCGCTCAAGATGTTGAAGCCTTTCAAATATTTAGGAATATGATGGTTAATGGCTTCATTCATGATTTTTGATAATATTGATAAAAAGCCACTGGTCTATAATTGTTTGGCAGATTTTTTTGGCCCTTTTTGGAAACAGGCTGAACGCGAGCAATCTCCCAACAAGAAGAAAAAATCCCTTTCATGTAAGACAGGTTGAAAGGTCTGTAAAATACTGTTGCGAGTTCATTGGCGCACTTTTAAAGTATGATGACTGGTACATCATCAGGACCAGATGCCTTGTTGATTTTAGGCTGTTCCAAAATTCGCCTAACTAGACGTTGTCGAAAAGTAATTTCCGGCATTGTGGATTCTAATGTGGTAATAGTAGGTGGTGCCTTTCCCAGAAAATCGAATGTGGAGTGGGATGAAAATTGTTCAGCTAGTAGATTCTCATTTTCTATGGCTGTTGTTGCAATTGAACCATTCGAGTGGTGGAATTGTGGATATTGTAAAGTTTTGACTAACATTTCCAGCTACCGACCAGAAGGATCTAGACCCGTTGGGACAGGAAATCAGTTCATCTCTAATCATCTGATTGTGAAGTTCTTTGCTTCCATTTATTCTATATCATTTTGCAGCTGTTGCGAGCGTTAACAAACCCAGTTCTGTTGTCGGCACTGGGATTTTTGCGCCATTACCGGTAGGCGAAATTTTTGGAGGCGACAGCTTTCTCGCAATCTTTGTTGAACCATGGTTTGCCGTTCGTTTAATTGAGAAAGGAATATATGCATTCATGGATGATAAAATAACTTACGTGACTTTATAGGCACAAGTCGATGGATCGTAGTATTTTCTTACTGTTTCGGTTTGATAAGCTCTTAGATTTCTTAGCAGAAAATCTCTGGCGATATTGGCATACATTAACTATATCATTTACTTTCAGCGTCGCTTTTTTTTTCGACATTTTCTATCCTGAATTCATAGAAACTTCGATACTCGTTCCTCGTTTTTTCTATATAAGGTAGCTCGGCTTCCATTGGAGCCAGAATACCTTCTCGTTCTCCTTCGTTTTTTCGTTTTTGGTGCTATTCCTCTTCGAATTCATTCTCTTCTGTTCTTGAAGATCTTTTGGAAAGTAATCTGGTTTTGTAGTGAATCTCAACTTGAGACTCAGATGCCATTTTGGCTTCTTCACTTTCTTCTTCGTTTATATGATACTCGTTTTCTCTGGACTTCTTGTTCTTTTTGTTTTTGGCACCTAATATTGACCATATCCTTGATCGCAGGATGGGATGGCCATCGTCTTCCCCTTCAAGGGGTCATTCTTCGTAAAGTATATAATCAATGGTTGCTCTTGCTTTCAGTTTTTCATCTTCATGACCCCTTCAAGGGGTCATTCTTCGTAAAGTATATAATCAATGGTTGCTCTTGCTTTCAGTTTTTCATCTTTCCATTGATGTTTGGAATTTCTTTTTTCAGTCGCGTCTTCGATAAAATGTCAATATTATCTGTTAAAGTGATGTTTTTCTTTCATCGAGGTCTTCTAGAACTTGGAGATATTTTGCATTTTTTGTAGTTTCTTTTCTAGGAAAATTTTCGATAGTCTCCACCCAATCTATCACTCCTTTATCTGACATTATTTCAAATGCCTGCAGAAGTAAGTAGAGGGTTCGTCAGTCTTCCATTTACAGTATGTTTCGAAATATTTTTCGGTTATATGATTATATGAAAGCTATATTTCTATTTTTATAGTTTGGTTCTTTGAAAATTGCCAATAATCCAAAGGACTGTATCTGAATACAATACAGTTGAAAAAATTTACCCTCTTGATACATTTTTGCTGATTAACCAAGATGTTAATTCATGCCAATGTTACTTCATGCAATTTGTTTTTTTTTTACTTTCGTTTTTCAATGAAATTTGTATTTCCATCCGATGATATTTTTATTTCTAACATGGAGTATTTCATTAGGTTATAACATCAAAAATATTGGATTCATGAGAATAATATGTTTTCAAAAAAAATAAATAAATAACTCTCGTTCATCAGAACATTCACATTCATGGACACGTTCATTCATGTAGACTTAAAAAAATCAGGAGATTCAATATCGAGGAACCGCAATGATGAAAAGATTCTTTCACTTCTTCTTCCATTTTCTTTGATATGTATTTATTAAAAATTGCCGTAATTGACCGGCAGAATGTGGACCGAATGTAACAGAAATATCCATTTCGTTGGCCAATTAAAATCCACGATGAAGTGAACACACTGTGGACACTCATCTGTAACCTTCGATCCTTTCTGGAATTTGTTACTTCCCATACCACAAGGAACTGGCCAATTGAATTTATCACAGTGCTTAGATTTCTTCACGAGAGGAAATTCTGGATGCACATGGAAAATCGACGTGTTCGAGTTGCAACGAGTTGCAACGGAAAATGCATCCCTATCGATCTATAAGTGTCCCCGTATTTTAGTCATTCATTTCAAAAGATTCTCTCTAACAGAAAGATTTAGAGGCAAGTTAAATGTTGCCATCGAATTTCCTCTAGATGGATTAGGTATGAACAATTATGCAGCAGACAATATGACTCCTTGTCGTTATAATCTATATGAACTTTCGAATCACAGTGGGTCTACCTACAGCGGACATTATACACCATTCTGCAGACATTCCTATACTGGTATGTGGCACGAATATAATGATTCACACGTGTCACCAGTTTCACCAGAATCGCTTGTGAGTGGAGAATGCATACATCCTGTTTTATGAAAAGGAGGAAACGAGTTCCCACCTTTATTTTTATTTGTGAACTGTAAATTTTATTGTTATAATGAATTACATTTATTTGCCTATATTTTTGAATGACGATGTCACGATATTCATAGAAATAAGAAATATATGGGAAACATTTTTTTAATAACCATATATTTACGTTCAAGTTCGAAGGTACTTTATTAGCAAAACTTTTACCGGTCCAATCTCTCGGGTGACACAAGTGGGCCAATTAATGTTCCTTTTTTTGAATCAGTATATAAATTCATGCCAAACGGATGTTGAAGATGATCGTTCCTTACTATACAAAGGTTTTCTACCACCATTATCAACAGATTCGAACGATGTATGATAATGGTTGCTGCCACAGACTAAAGTCAAATTGTTCATTTTTTTAGAAACTGCAGCACTGTTTGGTCTACTACAAATACCATGAATACATGCTCATGAACTTGGTGTGCGTGTCCGGATCTTACTTTAAATTATTGGAGATTTGTAGTTTGCTTACAATAGAGAATTTTGCTTGCACGTTGCACTTGCAACCTCTATCACTCTTCTCTACTTGTTATTATTCAAGCCATGTGTTTTGTTTTACTTCTGTACAATATTCAGACTGGAATTAAAAGTGTTGCTAGATTATTGTGGACTACCAAATATAGCAAATACTGAC